AATGGAAGTTGCAGAGGACTTGACTCACTAAATTTCCATTGATGCAATTGGCTTCCTTTAGTGGAATTTACAAAGCTAAGCAACAGGATTTTGGTTGTTATCTGCAAATAACTATAAATAAGAATAATAATCTCAGAATCACCATGAAACCATTGGGGAAATGTTTTTTGCTATACAATGAATTAGCACTAAATGACAAGAGTTTCATATAGAATATCACAATGTTTTAACCATGGTCACCTGAGACAAATTAGGGGATGGTGTTCAAAAGAAAGGGTCTTTCCATATAGCTTCCACTTACTGGGGGCTGGGTAAGTGAAAATGTCTTGATGGATCAATGCTTGGAAGATTTTAGTGAATGCTGACCCAGAGCATGCTGGAAAGTGTGCAACACATGAATCAAAGCACAAAGTTCCACTAACAAGCAAAAAAAAATATGGAGACTTCAATAACATCATATGACATCATGTTATTGTTCCAAGTGTGTTCTAAATACATGAAAGCTCTACAATTTCGACCAAAGGTTTTAACAGAAATTAAACCCTTGTTTTCAAGCAAATAAAAGAAATTAATACTCCATGGTCTTTGTTTCTGAGAGGTGCTAAAATGCAGTTATGAGACAGAAAGTTATTATAAAGCATTTACATCTATTATTTTGAGAAAAATAATAGGACCTTGGGAGGCAAAGAGAATGAAGGTGAACGCTGAAGAGTCATTACAGAATTGGCAGAGTGGGTATAACAGCCATCATGACTTATATGAAGGGTACATAATATGTTGTTATGCATGGTAAATATTTGCTGGGTATAAGATTTTAAGAGGCTCCTCCTGCTCATGAACCAAAGGCTATGCCAGCCGGATTTACTTAGCCAAGAGCAACAAAAATGTCCATCAAATCTGGCCTTCTTTCTAGGGAGATGAAATGCCCCTAAGTTCCAAATCTCAGTTAAGAGAACAATTAAACAGAGAGCCCATCATAATGAGACTTTCATTTTAATCATTTGTTTCCTGGATAATCTAAAAGCTGAATTCATATCAGAGTTGAAGGCTGTTCCATTGGCCATGAGGAAGAAATCTAGCACAGTAACCTAGCACTGTTAAAAGACCAACTTATGGATTTATTTCATAAGTTTTTTCATACAGGCGCAACCACCATGAATTTGTGTGGCATTTTATAAACCCCTGAGCTGGCACAAGTCTTTGGTAAAATGAAATTATTGGGAAATGTCATGGTGTTAAAAAAAATCACCAACAACTTAGTAGGAACTTACCACAACAGACAATAGTAAAAGTGGGGAGGAGGATCAGCAACCAGGGCAATAGAGGAGAAAACAGAAAGTACTTCAATTAGGGAAAATCCAAAACAAATAAGCAGCATTTGGCAGCAAAGAAACAAATAAACAAACAAAAAGTACTTTAAAAATTAGGAACTGGATAAAAGGCATGCAATGGGTATTAAAGGCCACATGCAGGAAAATGTCCAGCAAGAGGAAACATCAAGTGCAAAGCAGTGGAGAAGAACATAAACCATGGGTGTGTTTTACCATGCAATAAAACATGACTGAATGATGGTTAAAATTGTAATTGATGATGTGATACACTTCAGGGGTCGATTTAGCATCACACAAATTGATCAGAAAAAATGCTCACAGGTTGTCGTCTCATTAACTGGTAACTCATCATCAACTGTCTTCGTGCAATGGTTTGTCTCTTGTGCTATGGACTGTGCCAATCTCACCACCAGAAAAACATGGGCCAAAATCCTATTGGTAGTCCAAGCTGGTGTAAACCAACTGATTCAATGGGTCTTATGCAACTGCTGATTTATCAGTAGCTTGCTTTACCTGGAACAAGCAACAGGATTCCGGCCATAGTGTTTGGATTAGATAGAACCAACAAAATTATATGAGCTCTACTTCAAGCAAGCAGTTCACTGGTGGGGGTGGGGTCTATATTTCTCATTGCAATCATACCAAAAAAGATACCAACTTCCACTTACAGTCCAAATGGCCAGCTTAAACAGTTATATTTGTTTGGCAACGTCATACAAAGAGATGCCATTCCTTTGTATTTGGGGACAAAATTAATTTATGTGAACTATCACTTTCTAGCAGGGCAGTTAGAAAATCTGAAGCAACTAACAGCATGTTTCAATCTCTAGCTCAATTTGTAAAGCTGAAGTGAAGCTCTGAAGAAAGAAGCAGGGTCTGTTTTAAGTTTGAAGAGGATACAGCAACACTGGCCAAGGAAAATTAAAAGCAGAGATCATAAATTGCAAAGCCTATTTTATGGGTGTAAATGGGAAATCCAGTCTATATACTAAGAGGGGGGGGGGGAAGCAAGATACAGATTTTTCAGCTAGGCACAAATTCTTAAAACCTCTTTTAAATTCATCTGCATGAGAAATATATGGATGTACTTCTATTGTTACTAGATGAAGATTGAGCTTTTAAAAGTTGTGCTTAAAATTTACAAGCACTCAAGTTCCACTGAATTCAATAGACCCTACTAACTTAATAACATGCTTTAGCTCTTTGAATTTTCATAGAACTTGAGTGCTTCTAATGTACTAGAAGGCACTTTTACTTTGCCGAAACAAATAAAGAAACAAACGTGTGGGAAGGAAGAAAGCAAAGATGTTCAGTATGGCTACACTACTTAGGATACCCATTTCCAAACCATGTGAATAAAAACAGGGCTGGAGGCAGAGAGGAAGCTGAGCTGTAATGAGCCATAATTTTCTACAAAGGCACCCTGTCCAATCTTTAGCTGTGTCGAGCTGGGGCTATTTTGGAGATTAGACCACGCCCAAGATTCAAGACCTCCTTCAAACTGTGACTTCTGGGCCACTTCCAACATGTATAGTTTCCTGGAGCCTGACATCTTTTAGGGCCTATATAATTTCCCTATTAGGAATGAGGAAGAAAAAAAAAACCCAGAACACTGAGGATGCAGGTGCCAACAAACACCAAAATCATGGGTTCTCTTTAACCTACCAGAAGATTGCTTGGACACACCTTGCTCAACATGCAAACAATTCAATTTTAAAGCAAAGGTGGGCAACTTTGGCAGCTACATGGCCTATTTTGTCCCTATGGCTATTTTTGATAGGCCAGGAGCTGCATGGTCTATCAAAAATACCGGAAGGAGAAAACAAAACCAGAAGTGGCCAGAGGTCCACATCTGGTTTTGAAAACTGAGTGTTTTGCGGATGTTTAACACTCCAGGGGCCTTTTGCAACCTATTTAGAAGATGCATTGCTTATCCAGGAGTAGAAACTCAACCTTTGTTTCCAGAGAAGAACATATATATTTATATTGTTTGGCAGGAGCAGGGGAATCTAATTATATTAATGGCACAGTACAAAGTCACATGTAGTCCGAGCACCCCTGCTTTAAAGCATGTGGCACATGGTAAACTACAATTAATGAACATTCTTCACTTATTCGGTAACAGTCTTATCCCAATCTTGGTGTCCTTAAATGTGGAAAGATATGACTAGGTCTTTAAGGGGTTTCTGTGCTTCTCTTTGTCTGAAAGATGCAGATGAAAAATCAACACCTGGTGAATTTCTCTTCCATATAAAAGCTACCAAAAGCATTAAAACCAAACAACGCTAGTTGCTTGTTTGAACATTTATGTTAAGATAAAATCAAGAGACTTCTGTCAGAGCAGTCTAGCAATAAGCTTCAAAGTTATCACAGTTTTAGAAGCAATTTAGGGTTTAAACAGAAGAAACAATGTGAAATGGGCCAGTAAAACCTGACGGACAAAAATTTTTTAAAGGCTCTCTTTTTTGTCATCACTGCACACATATATAGGAAACTAAGAGTCTTCTTATGAGCCCAGCTGAGATAATCAAGTTCTAAGCTTAACAAGCTTAAGCAACTGGTTTGTTTCTTCACTGAGCCAACAAACAAGTGAAGAATCACCTCAGTTTCTTGTTGCAGTCAACTCAATAATTATGGTTAATGATTCCCAAAGAGATTGTATTATAGAAACCAAATTTAAACCACAGCTTCCTATTCTGGTGTTGTGTTTCTTTGTGTGAGTTTTGAGGTTGTTGTTTTTTAAACATCTTTGGCCATAATTTCACAGCGGACATATTGAAGATGTCCTGATTTGCTTTGTTGCTCACACAATGGAAGGGGTAAATTAGCCATACACAAATATTTGAAGGTCATATGTATCTGGGTTTATTAAGTCAAGACCTTGATCTGAAAGTGGCCACCAGCTTAATAAAAAGGGAATAGTAAAAGGGATTTTTACGCAACCCAAAGCTTAAAGTATCGGTGGGTTGCATTCAGTGTTGAAACTTTGGTAGTCTGATTGTGTTATGGACTGGGGGTGCAAATTGTGGCTCAGGCTCAGATGTATGCTGGATCTAAATGCTTTAGGTTATCTGAAAACTTCGACAAGAACTCAAATTACATACATGACAGAATCAAAACAATGGAGTCTATTGAAGAGCCACTGAAATCCATGACCTAATTCCCAGGGATTTTCGAACTGGCCCATTATTTTCACTCTTCCTCAAAACTTCACTTAACAGAAGAGTCCTTTTATTTTATAGACATTACAGTTATGTTATCATATGAGTGGAAATCTTTTCAACAATAAATTGTTTTGGCATTCAATGTTTTTTAATGTTAGAACTTAAATCGACCCCTGTGTTGGGGGTGAAAACATGGTAGGAAGAGATGGTATTTTGTGTCAATATTGATGAGAAATGGAATATAAAAATAACAAACTAGTGATGGGTAAAAAGTGGCTCATTCACCAAAGAACCTCATTAGTGTCATAATAAAGAGGCATTCATGCACTACCTAAATTGTCCAAAATGACCACAACACTTTTTTTATATATTTTGTTGGTTAATTAACTCATGTCAATAGCAATCAGCAACAGAAATACCCACAGCTAGCACATGTGGGCAAAGCATTGGCAGGAGTCATCAAATCAATCTATTAGCGTTCATTACTAACTAGAACATCACCTACCTCCCAGCCAGTACTCTGTGTAACAAAAGCAAAACAAAAACAAAAGGTATGTCACAGAAAAAAAAATTAGAACTCAAAGGTCAAAACATGACCATTGACAACATGCTGCTATTTACTTGAACAAACGTCATAATTTTTTTTTGACTGCTGCACATTTAAAATAGCCCTCTTGTTTCATTCAGCCCTCTTCCACCCATGAATTACAGAATGGAGCAACTCCACACTGTAGCCTTAAAATCAAATATGAAAATATATTATCTGAGCAGCTGCCATTAATACAGCACATTCACCATTCCAGTCTGCGGTTCTGCCAGTCAAAGCCAGATTAGTCTTAGATGATTTTAAAATTTGCACCGAAAGCTGAATTGTTCAATGAAATTCATTTGCTAACAAATGTATGAAAGGCAACATTCATTCTGTGTCAGCACTGTTTATACCCCTATCTGATTTTACACTGTTCATTTTCCATATACTTCACTCAACTATATTTTCAATACGAGAAATGGGTTTAAATTTCTTATATTTAAGATTGTGTTAATTTAGGAAAGTAAAATGTAACAGAAATGAAATGCACATCCCTTAATCCAGCAGTGCCAATGTGGAGATAGCAATGCTCCTGACACACAGAATACAGTTAACAACCCAGGAGCCAGCCAAGATGACTGCCAGTGTAAACTTCCCATCCTGGTTTTGAATGTTTACAATGAAACAAGCTTTAGCAGTATCAGTCAGGTGGAACAATGGTTAAGTAAGAGCTGGTTGAAGAGGAGTATATCCTTGAGATACGCTGTTTTGGAAAGGTGGGGAGTGGATCTGATGCTAAAGAGATCCCATGAGAAGAGGGAGCATTTCATTTCCAGCACAACCCAAAAGCTCACAACAGGATGCCAAGCAGTATATTAAAAAAAATGCTGCTCTCTAGACTTCACTGTGGGGGAAATGGTGTGCACAGAACCCTCTGAGCTATTTATATACAGTATAAAACAAATACAGAGACTTAGGCAGGTGTAAGTTCCAGAAACTGTCCAGAAATGGTGGATCTATTATCTAAGATCTGCTATCTGAAGACTGCCAAGGAAGAAGTAATGTTGAATTATTCCACTTTTTAAAAATCCAGTTTAATCTTAGCTAAGACAACTCCTGTTGCAGGAGATGTTTCTGCTTGCTTGCTCCTTGCCACAGCTTTCCATGACACATGTCATTCCACTTTTGGTACCCAAAGGTAGGACCATCTGTTGTTACACAGTCTCCACAAAGGAAGTGACAGGTTGTATGAGTGGTTCCCAAACCTGTGGCCCTAAATGTTCTTGGATTATATCTCCCAGATGTGCTGCTGACCATCGGCTATACTTAGCTAGAATTCCTCAGAACTCTATACCTTGGCCTCAAGTTCGGAAGCTAGTTTGGAAATAGGAACTGTTAAGAGAACAAATGGAAATCCCCAGGATGTTCAGTCAACATGACCCAACAAAGGGGGAAAGGAACATCTGAGATTAAACTGGACACTTCTGTATTTTGTAAATCAGCCTTCTGTTTAGATAACACTGATACAGAATAGATTCAAAGCCTGTAAGCAAAAACAATGCAGAACAGTCATTTGACCAGCATAGAAAAACAGAAGTGATCCAGCTGGACATTTTTCTAAATTTGCTGGTTCTGCAACATGGTCCACAAAGTCATTTACATTAGGGTATTTTGTTGACAATGGAAATTATAGGTAGGGTTTGGGGGCAATGTACAGGGGAAAGGGGAAATGTATCCTAATACATTTTACAATTACTTCTGTGCAGATCTTTCAGGCAGTATCCCAAATCATTACCTGGTGAACGATCTTGCTGAATGCTTCCTGGAGTTTACCATGAATTGTAGCCAGTTTCTTGGCATCTCTGTTCGCTTCATGAATCGGAATAAGAATTTTGTAAACCTCGTTGACGGCTTCATACATCCCAGCCTACAAAACAGATGGATCTAGTAAGAGAATAAGTAACAACAACAAAAAGCAAGCAAGAAAATATGTGACTGAAATCCTTCAGAAATGAAATTGTAATATTCATTTGGGATATTTTTGATTCAACGGAAGAATAAATAAGATGCAAATACTGTGTGTTAAAAACTATATATTAAAAATACCAGTCACATGTGAAAGTGCTGACGTTGGACATCTAGCCACATACTGTAGCTGGAAGGCCAGATGAAACATAGCAGAAGCCTCCATAGCAAGCTCTCAGATCACACATTAGCCCTAAGTTTGAAGGGTTTGCATAACAGAAATAAACAGCCCACACAACAGTTAGGCTGGAGTGCCCCGCATGACGATGATAATCCGTTCCATAGAAATCGCTGTTTAGAGAAATAATCGTCATCCGAAAACCGTTTCCCCATTGGAATGCATTGAAACCCGTTTAATGCATTCCGATGGGGAAAATACATCTTCGTCCTGAGAAGGGAAGCCATTTTGTGAGTGTCGATCAGCTGTTAAAATGGCGGTCCTGCGAAGCATCGGTCCCGAAAACACAGGAAAGCCATTATGCGAAGCCGCCAATCATCTGTAAAAATCGTCATCTTGCAAAAGAACGGTCCGTGAAGCACGGACCAAATCATTGTCCAGTGAAAATCCCCCATTAGAATCACTGTTTTGCAAATCTCGACAGCGATCGCAAAACCTCATTGTCATGTGGACTGGTCATTTTACGAGGTCGTTGTCTAGCGAGGTACCACTGTACATTTGTTCCAAACCACAGAACCAGAACCTTAAAAAAATTATGCTGGCTGTATGGACTGCTTAGTCTGGGAAGCAAAGTTTTGCTTTTGTTTTTGGGCAAAACAATTATTTCAGTGGCTTAATTAGCCTGGTGCTTTCAAAGACACATGCAGGCAGCAATATACCTTCACATAATTTTCTGTTTCTCAGAAGATATTCTATATTCACACAAAAAACAACAGAGTGTCTCATGACACCTAGAAGATTAAAAAGTTTTATTTGGCATGAGCTTCTAAAAACTACAGCCCACTGCTTTTTTGCTTTTGCTATGCTGGATGGATACCCACTCCCTGCCCCTCAGGAATATATCCACACACACATTCCTGAGTATAAAACAGATACAGAGTATGACAGGTGTGCAAATACCATGGACTTTCCCTTTAAAAACAAAACCAACCAAAAGTGTAACTTGTCTATATTTTCCTTCCCTTCTGACCTCACCAGTGTTCTTGGGAGGTGCAGAACAGCATTCCTTAACTCATCAGGTTATCTTTTGTCGCCATTGAGACTCAATAGGGCCCAGGGCAGAAGAGAACTGTATTGAATGGATGGAAAATCTACACCACTTGAATTCTTTATATCTCTTCTGGGGCATCAAATTAATAGCCTCCTACACATTTCCACTAGCCAATGTATATCTTAGAAAGGACTCAGTCCAGATGGCTTCTAGCAGACAGAGTAGCAATGGCAAACATAGATCCGAAACTGTTTAAAATTTAAAGCCCTTTGAATCCGGTTGCAACTGATTGATGTCATGATGAGGTCAGTTTCAGAGACTAGGAATTCCAGGGACTACTGGTTTCATAGCAAATTCTGAATATACCTAACCAGAGCTGGATTGTGGTTCATTCTGGCTTGTTTGCAAACAGAGCTGAGCTGTTCTTCCACCAGCACCAAAAATGTGTGATCTGATCACAAACAAGGTGAATTGATGCCACTTGTTCTTCAATGACCCCACATAATAAAATTCAGTGGCATTAAGCTGCTGAAATGTAAGCACTCAAATTGAGATACTTTGTGTTGTGCTTCTGAGGTGTGCATCCCACATCTTCTAATGCGTAGAACATTCCACGCTGAAACTATACAATCACAAAGGTCTAAAACAAACTAAATACATGCATTAAACTCTTTTACCATGGAAAAAGACGCTGCAGCTTGCTCCAGCAATCCCACCAGTCCTGCTTCTGTAAAATACTTTCCAGAGCATATCCCTTCTTCATCTGGTGACACAACATCGTCTGAAACGGCAGATTCTTCTAGAACGTTTGAGGAGATATTCTGAGGAGAAATAAAACGTTTATTTCCAACTTTAATAGTGTCTATGTCTTAAACCTTCCATCAAACAGCTAAATGTTTCTTTACATTTCCTGTTCGGACAATGTTCTTTTATAAGATATAATATGAAAACAGCTTTTGCTACACTGAAGCCAAACAGACCATATTGTGCTTTTCTGGACTATGACATAGTGAAAATAAAAAAGCCATTAGAAATTGGAGTGAATTCCAGATAGTCTAGAACAAAAAAAGAGTAACTCTTTATATCTGTATAGAGGACAATCCTTTCTCACAACACAACAATATCTGGACTGTGCTAAGATACTGCCCACTTCAATCTTGCCTGAATGCCACTTAAGCCTCGTGGCACTGTGTTTAAACTGCAGTACTGCAGCCCAAACTCTGTTCATATCCCACATTTAGTTCCAGGTAGACGGCTTCAGCTTGACTCAACCTTCCATCCTTCTGAGGTCAGTAAATTGAGTACCCAGCTAGTGGGAGTGGTGCAGTGTATAGCCTGTATAATTAAATTGTAAACCACCCAGAGAGAGCTTTAAGCACTATGGGGCAGTATATAAGCAGCACACTTTGTAAGCCTGGGTCTTCCAAACTCTTCCCCACTTGCAATGTCTCCTCTCAGGAATGGCTCTATTATTTCGTGGTCTTCAGACAAAGTATCTTCAGTGCACCACCCGTATCAACTACTCCTAGTACTAGGATCAAGATCCTTCATTGATGGCTTAGCAGCAGTAGCAGAAGTTCATATATCTGACTCTTCCACAGCATGGGACTCCATGAAGTTAGAACGGGTTCTAAAGAAGAGTCCATCTGCTCTGTTGGCACTAGACTCTTCAGCAATGCTGATAGTTCCAGCAAGGGCCACGAAAGAATAAAAGCAATATTACAATATAATATATTGAAATGTTCACAGTAATCTGAAATATGGGTTTTTCCCCATGTGAGTGCCTCTCAAGGGCTTTGAAGCTTTATGTCTCTCGGACTGAGAGCTTGGTGTGGCTGAGCTTGCAGGATGTGATTGCGGTGTCTGCCCAGGGCATGAATATTCATATGCTATCTGCATAGACCAATGAGAGTGCTGGAGGGGTGGAGTAACGAGATATAAGAGACTCAGAAGAAGGAGGAGGAGTTAGTCAGGGAGATTGAGAGTTGAGATTGAAAGTTCTGGAGTTTGAGCAGGAGAGTGGTGGTTGAGAGTGGATAAAGGAGAATGTTTGTTTAAGAGTTAACAACATTGCTTGTCCTGCCAACATCCGTAACAATAAACAGTTTCTATTTGGTTCTTTTAAAATGACATATGGCCTGGACCTTGATTATTAATAATAGGTGTAACAGGCAGCCCTGATCCCACTTGTCCGTCACGGCTGGGCAGTGGATCATCAGCCAATGGGGTTACGGAGGGTGGAGCTGGAGGGGGAGGAGTTGGAAGAAAAGTGGTGTGAAGAGAGTGTGAGAGATCAGATCTGGTGTGTGAGAGAGAAAGAGCTTGTTTAGAGGCCTGCGTGCCTAAGTGGTTAGTGAGTGAAGTCTGTGATTGATTAAATAAGATACAGTGATTGACATCTTGATTAGCTAATTGTGATT